GTAGGGTATCTAGTACAAATTGTAAGTGTATTAAATATACTAGACACTTCTAGAAAACATGAATGTGTTATTCCCATTATCATTACACTTCCTTGAATTTTCATATGAGTTGAATGAGTTTATTGACAGTAGGGGGGGGGGGGGCACATGTATAATAAAAAGCAGGAATAGTAGCGCGTCTAAGTCCATCATAAAATGGACATACTAAACAAAAGTGATACTCTGATTCAATGATTCTAACTACGCAAAAAAGGGCATAACCTGTCTTACCTAGCTAAACCTATTTTCCTACCTTCTTCGATTAATAATTTATGACTGAAGCAGCGGGGGGGATGAAAGGGCAATACAGTAAACCATCTCAGGTATACACGACAGGTAAACTTTCAAGTTTGCCTCATGTTTTATAGAGCGGTACAACATTAGTTTATTATACTTATAAAAATCTTCAAACCAACGTTGCTTATCAATATATAACATACACCTTTGCTTGAAAGACGATATGAAATGATTAATAATACCAACATCCTGATTTCTCCACACTTCACCGAATCCATATTGGAACAATAATGATTTGAGCTCTAATGCCCAACAACATAAGCCCTTATTTGCTAGAGACAACTGGTAAGAATAAACTTTCTTATGAATAATATTATCTTCTTGATAAAGCAGTCTTACCCAAAACTATAATCCTCACAAAACAATTGACTTAAATTGAATGCCGTCCTAGCTCACCACGAACCACACTATTTGGTACAGATCTATGTAAATATAGCACCTCCTTACAGAAACGATCATGAACTCTTTCCACGTCAGGTGATGGGTGAAAGCCCCAAACCTCAGAACCATAGATAAGAACTGGCAAGATTTTAACATCAAATATGTGACAGAGCATATGAATTGGTAAGTTACGAAAGTTATTTACTTTAGATTTTAAACATTGAATGACTTTGGTAGCTTGGAGAGCTAATGTTTTCTGAGCAATATACCACGTCCCAGAACTTGAGAAATGCACTCCGAGGTATTTATAGGTAGGGACAATATCTAAGATTCGACCATTAAAAGAGAATTTTTCATAGAGCTTAAGTCTTCCTTTTTTCTGAACACAATGACGTTGCTTTTATCTAAAGTAACCAACAGCTGCCACTTATCACAATACCTTGACAACTTGTCTAACCTCTTTTGAAGACCTTTAACTGTACTGTCCATCATCATCACTATATCATCTGCGAACAGAAGCATAACACTTGCAGCATACCGATACTAATAGACCATTGATTATCCTGCCCTAGAAACTCAACTATGTCATTGATAAAAAAACGAAAAGAGAAATGGAGACAACTGACAACCCTGACGGACTCCAAAGTTACAATCAAAGAACTCTGTACAACCATTCCCAACAAGAACGCAAGATTTTACATTTTCATACATATTTCTTATAAGTTTAAAAATGCGACCCTTAATATTACCGATCCATAATTTATATAGAAGCCCATTATGTGTAAATCTATAAAAGCACAGTAAAGTCTACCTTAATACACGGACAAGTAATTGTTTATTACAGTGTCTTAGATGAAAATATTATCTGTAGTTTGAAAACCTTTTCTGAATTCAGCCTGCTCCGGAGCTAAAATATTTTCTTGAGTGGCCCAAAGTGTTAACCTACTGCAAATAATGTTAGAAAATATCTTTCCTGAAACCTCATGGAGTGTAATTGCCCTGTAATTACCCGGCACATTGGGGTCACCCTTCTTATGTACAGGAAGTATAACTCCCAGCGTAACCTTATGAGTAAGATGGGGGGTAAACTTACCAATTTTCGGTTATGATCACTGTGGTCACTGAATATCATAAATCAGGATAACGCCAATGATCATAAGGATACAGATACAATGACAGACGAGTTTCATCCTTGTCTGGTAACTGAGGACAACTCTAGGCCCAATCGTGTGTGCTTTCCTTTGGGCCAGTAAGACAACCTGCTTCATTGAAGCAAACAGTTTTATAGAATAGTCTTGTTGATATAAGTTGAAGTTTCGTACACCTGATCTCATTACTATTTGATAAAACTTTATTAAGATCATTGCAAAGTCTTTGCCGCCTTGTTAACCATTCAAGTTATTTTTACGTTTGAATGTTTCGAACCATAGTAAAGTGTAATAAGTTGACCTTTTCCCCCAGCCAGGAAACGAGATAGAAATGGTCATCTACTTAATTTAAGATCTAATTTCATGTTTTCCGACGAACGGACATATTGTTAAATGTGTCTTACTGACTTACCTTAAACTGTCACAGTGTTGTGGTGATATGTAACTGAACACAACACAACATTAACGTACATTTGCAGAATGCAGTCTTTCAGTGCTGTGTACATGGGCAGCTGCAGTAGCCAGGGATGTAATTAAACATCAAGAAAATGAAAATACACGTTTTTTTTCCTTAAAAGCTCCATTAACCCATTATGAGATGAGTTATGAATTGTTACGCATTATCCAGATCACAATTTGATAAATGTATGGATAATGCCAGTTACTTATGAGTAAACAACGTAAAGAGAGGCATTTAGTCATTGATTTGTTAAGTTACGAGACAAGGCTGACTGCAGTGGTTTCGCTATAACGAGTTGATTGTGACATGCCGTCTTGTGATATGTAACTGTTTGATGAGCCTATGCCAAACACTTCCCGTTATCCCGCAAATATGACGTGAGCAGCATAAACTGGTTGCATGTCTATATGTAAGTGGCATGTGTTCAATGGAGTCCATTTAGTCCTGTTTGGAATTACTAAGTGACAGGATGTCTTATTCATTTTCATGCATCACAATCAATAGTATCTACAGATCAGGTTAGCATCTGGCATACATGCATGGGAAAGGATAAGTCATTTCCGTAAGTGTGCATCTGTGAAGGGCAATATAATGCTTGTCTTGTTTGGAGAAATATGAGGTGTACGATGTCGGTTATTAAGGCCGTGTATAGTGTCAAATGTCTTGATTGTCGATATGCGTGAGCGTTGGTGTACACCGCTTTGAGAACGTCGTAATTTTAGACCATCCTGGATGGGTTTCACGCTGTACACGCCAACCATAATGCAACATTTGTATAACCATACAAGGACAGAGAAAGAGCCCAACAAGTCAAGCTTATGTTCCCACCGGAGGCAACCATAAACACTTGCATGTCGATTCTTCACCTGAAAGAGTATAAGAACATACATGTTCGGTTAAAGTGGAAAATGTCAAACATGCTTTATGCCTCTCATTTTGACCTCTAATTGGCTTTGGGGCGGTGGGGTAGCCTAGTGGTTAAAGTGTTGGCTCGTCACGCCGAAGACCCGGGTTCGAATCCCTACATGGGTACAATGTGTGAAGCCCATTTCTGGTGTCCCCGCCGTGATGTTGCTGGAATATTGCTAAAAGCGGCGTAAAACCAAACTCAGTCAGTCAGTCTAATTGGCTTTAGTGGTGTTAACGTATTAAACTGAAGAAAGAGTATGCGTGACTTATCTAGTGTCCTAACTGGATCGGGATAATAATAGTGAGTGAGTTAAAATTTAACGTCACCTCGGCAATATTTCAGTTATATAGTGGCCAGAAAGGTTGTGCATATACAATAAATATGAGTTGTTAAACAACCAGTCATCGAAGGACTGTGAAATAACTAGAGTATCACAGATGGCGTTAAACCTGGCATGTAAATGTAAAATTATTTTTTTACGAAGACAATACAATATTATAACAGGCTATAGGTATCCAACAACTCGAGGTAGATCACCATACTATGTGATAATATTAATAATCTGAACATGTTCGTAATCTGAACGCGTATTAAATATTCACGGTATAAACGTATCGTGCCATCAAATACAATGCATGTGCCTAACTGTAATCCCTGATGACCAGGCACCACGCTGTGTGTATGTTTTACTATCTACAATACGTCTACTGCCCTTTCAGTAGCATTGGGTAGAGGTGTAAGTTTGTGTCACAGTTCATGCGATTTTGAGTGAAGTTATTGTTACAGTATGTCATATGAGAGAAATATTACCATATGCAATAAAATAATGCAGCTGCTATTTAAGACGCGGGGTCTTATGTCCACAGCTACCACTGTGGCTGTGATCTATCACATGATTATATTTGAATTTTACTTTCGTATATAAATGTTTACACATGAAATACAGCTTATCTGACGCTTTCCGTATTTCTTTGACCGCATCATGCAAATGTTATTAAACTGTAAATATCTGCAATGTACACAATGAACAAATACACCATTTATCTTTTGTTTACAGATTCTAAACCGCTGACTTTTTGTTTCAGCAAGATGGATCCCAACTTTTGTAATGGTAGTGTTTGCTTCAATCAATCAGGTAATATTTGTACTATATTTCATCTCGAACTTGGTTGCCATGAACATGATGGAATAAGGACCGTACAAGATTGAATAGGACAAATGAAGCACTGATATGTAAAACCATGGGAATTTAGTCAAGATCAATTTACTCTAGTTTCATGGACTGGCATGACCAGGTTGTGAGTTGTGTGTGGGAGTGAGTATGTTTTGTTTTCAAATGACTTCTTGCAATAGTCCAGCTATACCATGGTGGCAATGATCAACGAACGCAATCAGTAATCACCACTTGATTCCTTATTCCACATAGCCTATTCGGTCATGCATCAGTCATCATTCTCAGTTCAGTTCATTGACACCTGATCAATCACGGCGACTGCCTTACCAATTGAAGTGAAATTTATCTCGTCTATGAGAGCGAGCGTCAAGTCAAATTCGCACAATCAGTGTCACAGTTGGTAATACCAATGATCAAGCTAATATTCAAGGCTGAACACAACTTCCATCAAAAAGGTAGACATCTAGTTACTGGATTTTTCTTAATTTTTCTAAAACTGATGAGTTAACACATCTTTTGCAAGACTGCACACTGTCATGCGTATTGGAGACATATTTCAAACAATGTTGATGTTTGTTTTCAGCGCCAATGATGAACATGAAACCCGACGATTGGGGCTTCATTTTCAAGGTCATTGTCACGCCTATCATCGCTTTAATAGGGATTGTTGGAAACTGCCTCTCCTTCATGGTGATGAAAACAAGGATGTTGCGGGAAAAGTCATACAGCCATTACCTTTGCGCATTGGCAGTGTTCGACAGTTTGTCCCTAATAGCGGTTCAAGTCAAAACAACAGATGAACTGCTATACTACCTTCACAAGCCAAGTCTGTTCACCTACTTCACCGACGCCGGATGTAAACTATATGTATTCACTGAATGCATGTGTTATTTAATGTCGTCCTGGCTTATTGTGTGTATGGCTCAGGAAAGATTAATCGTTGTGTTCATGCCCTTCAAGAAGCATGTGTTGTGCACTCAGCGTGGAGCCGTGGTGATCATTCTAGCTATATTTGTTATCATGTCCTACACTCAGATGTTCCGTCTAATCATGGTTACCAAGATAGGAGACAAGTGTGAAGGCCGGCCGGAACTGTCCGCTATTTACACGTCTCTCCATGTGTATTTTTACCAGTTTGCGCTGTGTTTCATTCTTCCTATCCTTATCGTGTCCATCTGTAACATATCTGTTCTGTGTAAGATCAGGAGCGTCAGTCGGGCAATGGCGGATGAGAACTCGTCGTCCACGAGATTAACGCGAGGAGCGGCGAGACGTCATAAAACCACGATGATGCTTCTGACAATCTGCTTCATGTACATCACCACCCTTTTACCAGTAATCACAGTCACGATGATAGTGTTTGTTTACCTGAATATTTACCCCTCACATGCACCTTCGGTTTTTGTCAACATCACGCCTTGGACACATGTTGCTACAGTCGTGTCACAAATTAATTACGCAGCAAACTTTTTCATATATGTTGTGTCAGGTAAAAACTTCCGTGTTGAACTCAGAAGAATATTTTCAAGGGAAAGAGGAAGTAACCTTAACAGCTCCAAGACACGAGAGGAGATAATGCTACTCTGATACCCTACATCTCATGCTATATCCGGGGTTTGCAGAGGCCGGGAAAATATCACTTTATGATTCATGAATATTTTCAGTATGATTGGGAACAACGGATAACGAGTAATGTATTTGTCTGTCATTAATCATTCTAAATGTTTTACATTATCTCGTTTGGAGTGGGGTTTCTGGTAATGGACAATTGGATAGGTGGCGTGAAGCTGATGCTTGGATACGTTTTCTTTTATGGCTTTACGTCATGTGTTTCTTAAACTATTTCTTTATATGTTTATACTTATTCTAATAATGGTTACAAATCTGTTTGGGATGGTAATTTGGATGATTTATGCTATTTTGGTCTTGTGGTATTTCACAGAAATACACATATTCAGTAGCATTTAACAGACTAATTACAAACGGTAATGAATTGACAACTTTTTCATTTTCAGGCTGTGAGTAATATTTGGAAAATGGTCAATCATAACATGATAATCATCATTATTAGCACAAACATAAGCCGTTCATGTGATACGTTGTGTCGGTTTCTTTTATTGAATGCATATGTTTATGTCCAATACCAAATGTTACTGTGCAAACTGTTTTGACATTTGAATTGAAGAATTGAATTTGATTGAATTGAATTTGTTCTTGATAGTTACGTTCTATATTTCATATATATTGAATTTTAGTGCATAGTTGACCGGTGATAATTGGTGATTACTTTTGATCTTGGCAGTTATGTGAGTGTATGTTACATAACATGTTGATTGTGCCTCTTGACTTTGCTCAATCCTTCCTATACGTCGTACGTATGTCGTACGTATATAATTATATTATTGTGCAAATGTCCGTATGTGGGAATGTAACCGGTGCAACAGTTGTGACATCATTCAGGAAATCAATTTCCATTACACATGTTCGACGGTTTAGTGTTGCTTATGAGGAGGTGCACCAGCACCCATGCATGCTCTTGTAATACTTGATCAACACAACCAATAACAAGGAAGTATGAAGGCATATTCATCCCGAGCAGCTGGATTTTCCTTTGATAAATATTATAGAAACTAAACGACTGTCATACCTTTTAATACAGTACAGCCAGAAATTATTGAGAATTTTAAGATAGTAAATTCTTTATTTTCTTTCACTCATTACTCACGTATTAAATGTGAATATTAGCAGAACATAATTCCAGATTCAAAGACAGGTGAACAGTTAGTATTTTGTCAAGTCACCATAGGCAGCAATGCAGCCTTCAACGCGGCGGGGCATACTTCTGATCAAAGAAGTTAGAAAGTCGTGGTCCACGCTGTCCCAATATCGGACCACCTCTTCTTTCATTTCAGCAATATTTGTCAGATTTTTCTTATTGACACTTTCCTTCATAAGTCCCCAAACATTTTCTATTGGGTTTACTTTTCTGCCAACCCATTGCATGCAGCTCAGTTCTAATTGTCTCCTTACAGACAGCCACAGTTCCTCTATCAATCATATCCAGCCTTAAGTTTTCTAAACTCCTTCGTTTGTTTTTAGAAACAAGAATAGCAAGCCGCCTCCTGTCACCGACAGTCAATTTTCTGGGCCTACCTGCGCCTCCCTGGTGCTCAATGCCATATCCATTTGCAATATTTTTCAAAACACGATAAACAGTGGACAAAGGGATGCCTGTTCTACTTGAAATCACTTTAGCTGATCTGATGTCCTTGTTATAATACTCTAAAATCAACTTCCTCTTCTCTAAATCATCCATACTGAGGATCACTGAAAATGTCGTCTGCTAGCAAGTAAAGAAAGGGGGATAACTCTTCAGAAACTAATGAAAAAGGATTAACGAAGTTGTCTCTCTTGAATGAAACCAAGCACTTGATAGCTGGTCAAGGTTGTTTATACCATAAATCCAATTAAACATATTCCTACAATTCTCAATAATTTCTGGTCATACTATATTTTCGAAATTGTTCATCAAGTGTGAATACGTTTGCAATGTACTTACTATGATTTGTCAAAAAACACTTGTGTTGAGTGTAGTAGCAATACATAAAATACGCACTTAGAGATATTGATATTTACAACGCTTAGATTCGTTGTGCATGTTGGACATAAATGTGATAGTGTTGCCGTGTGATGTTGTGTAGCCAGTATGAAGTTTAGTGACATGTCTGTCAATAACATTAATATATGATGTATATATTTAACCCAACCGATACTGTGCTTGATAGGTAATATGAACCAGTGTGTTATTAGTCGCACAATGTATTTTATGGGAGACTTTTCTCCACAGTTTCGATTACCAGTCTATATTTAGTCAGGTTTTGTGTTTTATGTGAACATAAGAAACCGTCTTGAGTGGTGAGTTGTTTTTTGATATACTGATACAAAACCAACTGGTATTGCTTATTTGCCCAAAACAAAAAAAGACCACAAGGGACTCGCACATTGGATTGTCTCTCCTAGAGCTGGAACCTTTTAGACAAAATGAATACCCTTATAAGTGTATCGAAAGCATTCGTGATCAAACAATAAAAGTAACGTTTTTATCACTCTTTAGTCAAAATATGGTCCGGATATACTTTTGTTAATGTATGACTGAGAGATGTAGTTGTATATATGAGGCGTTGATAGTTTAGTAGGTATTAGTGGTGGTCCGATTAATTGAAATAATCGAAGATTGGTCGTAGTGACTAAACGACCAAGCAATCGATCATAATTTCTCATAATCGAACACAAACAATTCTGGAACACTTGTTTTCATTAACAATATTTTTCACATGGTTGGTTTTGTCTGTTACATTTCGTAAGCACTACAAGCTCGTTTCAGGTCATGATTGAATTTATCTTAAAGATTCCAAGAAATTTATGTTCCTAACATACTAGTCATCCTTTAAAGATGTGAAATTTTGCCAAAAAACCCCAGAAGAACTACATTTTTTCCCCTTATTTTAATGTGCTAATAAATGACGCTAACCAATTATTTTCGATGATGATCGGTAGTAATGAATCAATCATCAATTATGAGATTTTAACCAATTCCCAACACTAGTAGGTATTGATTCTGTATTGTATTGTGGATCCATAGGATGTAACAACGTTGTATTCCCCACGGCGGAAACAATGGGATGGTGATTGTCACACTGTACCTATGTGGGGATAGAAATGAACAATATATGTCTGTATTTGATCAACATCACCAGTATCATATTGATCAGTGTACATTTCAGCTTATGTGATATAAAATGGTGTCTTGTTCATTCTTTCTATCAGTTTGGAATCAGACTTTGTTATATACATATGACATGTATTCGTCCATATTGTTTGTCTTTTCACAATAAAATCACTGTAGTTTGATAAGGCAAAGTCGTTCCTTTTCTTTCTCATTGACATATTGGAGACACGTGGTTGTCACTACTCCAGTGTATGACGCGTAAGGGAATAAATGTATGTATTCTGACAAAAGGGGGAAGACTGAGTATGGTTTTACGCCGCTTTTAGCAATATTCCAGCAACATCACGGCGGGGGACACCAGAAATGGGCTTCACACATTGTACCCATGTGGGGATTCGAACCCGGGTCTTCGGCGTGACGAGCCAACGCTTTAACCACTAGGCTACCCCACCGCCCAAAGGGGAAGAAACACTGAGATCTGCTTCATAGAAAAATGAAAATGAAAATATTTTCTTTGGCATTAATAGTACCAGTTTTACGAAGAAAACATGTGTATGTGTATGGTTTACTATTATAATTATAATCATAATCATAATACAATAACAATTATCACGCCGCGGTAAAGGTTTACGGATTGCGCATTGCTCTCAGTTACTTGAAAGGAAGGCATTGAGAGACACTAAGGAAAGACCAAGTAAAACGTGATCTTATTACATCACAATAGCATTCCCGGTTTGTACACGGCAGCACTTACTTACAAACTCTTTAAACGTATCCAACAATACCATAACAGAAGACAGTACTGTAAGTAAAACTAAACGGCCAAACGCGGAGTTGTCGATGTTTATACTGACACGCAGTTCGTGGTGTTCTGTTCGTAATGTCCCATTCATGCTGATAGAAACGCATGTTCAGTTTCCGTACCAACTGATCTAACTGAAATTTAACACACAATGGGCGAATGAGATAGTTTAAAGCCGCTTTTGACAGTATTTCATTTATATCAAAACGTCTATGCTTAATATGGATGGAGATCCCGAAGTGATGAAGGTGTTAACTGTTCGCTGCTTTGGTGAAGTACGTGAACGCAGCTATGACGCCTACAACGTCAGAAACACAATGAAGGCAAGCAATCGAAACCCCCGACGACATATTTCGAGGATATCCAAGGAACGCAACGCTACACAGCGAACTGCTTTTACCTGAGACGACTGGGAGACTATGTCCTCCAAGAAAAAGATAACTGAAATGCCGACATTAATTTATGGATTCTGTATATCTGTATCTATCTCGTACTATCATGGTATCGAGACACTAACCACGGGATGTCGAGATTCGTTTGCGAATTACATTATTTAGACACAACTCACTACAGGCTTGCTTGGCCTGTTGCACTACGGATATTTTATGGGACACAAAATTACGATAAGAATGCCATAGGAGAGAGTAATGGAATACTCATAACGCGTTCTCAGGCTCCCAATAGGCAGCTTGTGAATAGTCGCTGGTCTGTGAACAGAGTATTTAACTTTTTCTTGTGTAATTTTTAAAAATAAATCATTACCATGTGTCCAAATGACCCAACAAGAAAAAGGTCAGTGGGAGACGTATCGGCGCACATGCACTAGTTTACTACCCCCGTCCTTCAAGCTTTTTTTCAGCATTAACATATTGTATTATCATTCACCGTGTTAGCATGAAATTCAAAACTTAGTTTGATTTACAATATGCCAGCCACACACAGATACGTATTAAACATTAATCTTTTGGAAGATAATTCAATACAAATAGGGAATGTGTGTATTTTTCTTAATTTCTAAGCTGCCGCTGCGTTTTTCTGATGCTGCAAGTTTGTCATGGAATGGGGTTACATTGCTATGCGCCATCACGGAATACACCCCGACCAAAACTCTTCGATCCCAGAACCAGCTCCTCTTAACAGTCCCAAAAATCCGCTTAGAGATCTTTCCGACATGCATCTCCATGTCTGTGGAGCTCTGTACCTGTCAATATCAAACGTTCTAATTCTCTCACAAGTTTCAAATCTCGCTTAAAAACTTATCCCTACAAGAGCACCTATTACCAACTTTTCAATCCTTCAATGTATATTTTGGTGTATATTATCCGCTGATTACTTTTGCAGCGCCATGAGCATGCTCAGGTGTGTGGATACAGCTGCATTATAAATGTCCATTATTGTGCTCTACATATTAGAAATGATATGTAGCAGAGAGGATCCGGGTGATCCTGGCACAGTCAGGCCTGTAAGGCTCATTATCAGCTCAGGGCCCTTGTCCCCTCTACACACAGCCCAGACAGCGAATGGGACTTCTCCCAGGAAACACTGCCTAGTCGAACCCACCAAGAACGTTCCGTAGAATATGTAGACTCCCAACACTGCAGCCTTCTGCAATACCCAGAGTGTCAGAAGGGCTGCGAACCCGGTGGAGAACCCGGACACTCTGCGCCAAGAGATCAGGAGGTACCAAATTCATTTCTGTTGCTGCTAGCTGTTGCAATGATACGAAAGATGTACTGTGGTCCTGTTCGATATGCCGACTCATACGACCTGATTGCATGCAGCGTCGGCATATGCAGGGACCAGGGAATATAACAGTATGTAGAATGTCGATCTGTTACAGTTTGTTTTACGTTCCAAACAAATTGGCTACAGACCGCGACAAAAATGATTATCATGAACAAAGGATTACACATGCATGACAATGTACCTCTGTCAATTTCCTTTTCCATTAGATGGAAAACACGAAAGGGGACTATCCAGTTAACTAACCGAATCCTCCCGTCTAATTCCATCGCAGTTGATGATGGGCTAAAAAGGAAAGGAAGCTTTCGATTTTCCA